CTCTTGAGAGTCCTTTGGACTGCAAGGAGATCAAATTAGTCAATCCTAAAGGAAATCAACCTTGAATATTCATTGGAAGGACTGATGTTGAAGCTCCAATACTTGGGCCATCTGAAGCGAAGAGCTGACTCACTGGAAAAGACCCTGATACTGGGAAAAACTGAAGGCAGGAACAGAAGGGGGATGACAGAGGATGAGATGGTTGGATGGCATCACTGACTTGATGGACATGAGTTTGAGCAAACTCCAGGAGATGGTGAAGGACAGGGAAACCTGGTGTGCTGCAGTCTGTGGGGTTGCAAGGAGTTGTACATGACTGTGCAACTGAACGAACAGGAGATGACATCTAAGAGGCAGCAAAGGTCTGATTTTGGAGGCCGTGGTAAAAGTTTGGGTTTTAATTGCATGGAAGGCCATTGGGTGGATGGGTTGGGTTTCAGCAGAGGAATGTGGTCCCATTTAGGTTTTGAGATCAGTCTGATCTGAAGTGAGGTGCTGATGCTGGAGGAGGATGAATGTGAAAGCAGGGTATGGAAGGCAGAATAAAGAACCCCCAAAGACATCCCAGGAACCTGTGTTAGGTTGAGTCAGTGAAGTTGCTCAGTCGTGTCCGACTCTTTGCGATCCCATGAACTGTAGCCTACCAGGCTCCTCCATCCATGGAATTTTCCAGGCAAGAGTACTGGAGTGGATTTCCATTTCCTTCTCCAGGGGATCTTCTCAACCCGGGGATTGAACCCAGGTCTCCCGAATTGCAGGCAGATGCTTTACCATCTGAGCTACCAGGGAAGCCCCTTGTGTTAGGTTACACAACAGAAAAGAAAGATAATGCTAAGTTGTGTCCAACTCTTGCAACCTATGGACTGTAGCCTGCCAGGCTTCTCTGTTCTGGGATTCTCCAAGCAAGAATATTGGAGTGGGTTTCCATTTCCTTCTCCAGGGGATCTTCCTAACCCAGGAATTGAACCCTGGTCTCCAGTATTGCAGGCAGGCTCTTCACAGACTGAGCTATGCGGGAACACAACAAAGGAATTTAAGTGGCAGATGGAATTAAGATTGCTAACCAGCTGCCTTTAAATTACAGAGATTATCCTGGATTATCTGGGTGGGTCCAATGTTATCATAAGGGTCCTTAGATGGGGAAGATTAGGGCAAAGGAGTCAGAACCAGAGAGGTGACATGTGCAAACAGTCTAGTGGCCTTTGCTGATTTTGAAGATGGGAGGAGGCCAGGAAGCAAGAAATGAGGGTGGCCTCCAGAGGGTGGAAAAGTCAAGCAAAGGGATTTTCCCTGAGAGACTGTAGTGAGGAATGCAAGCCTGCCAGCAGCTTGATTTCTGCCCAGTGAGATCTGTTGCAGATGTTTAACCTCCAAAACAGTAAGATGATAAATATGGACTGTGGGACTTCCCTGGTGGTCCAGTTGTCAACACTCCATGCTCCCAATCCCAGGGGGCCTGGATTCCAGCCCTGGTCAGGGAACTAGATCTGACAAAAACTAGATCTGCAACTAAAAGCCCACAAGCTAGGACTTCCCTGGTGGTGGGATCCGCCTGCCAATGCAGACAGATTAAGGTCTAATCCTTAATCTGGGAGGATCCCACCTGCCAAGGGGCAACTAAGCTGGTGCACCACACGCACTGAAGCCTGAGTGCCCTAGAGCCCAAGCTCTGCAACAAGAGAAGTCACTGCAATGAGAAGACCATGCACGGCAACGAAGAGCAGCCCCTGCTCACCGCAACTAGAGACAGCCAGGACACAGCAATGAAGACTCAATGCAGCCAAAAATAAATAACTAATTAAATTTAAAAAAGAGCCCGCAGGCTGCAACTACAGACTCCACACACCACAACTAAGACCCAGTGAACCAAATGTGTGTGTGCGCTTAGTTGCTCAGTTGTGTCTGACTCTCTGTGACCCTATGGAGCCCACCAGGCTCGTCTGTCCATGGAATTCTCCAGGCAAGACTACTGAAGTAGGTTGCCATTTCCTTCTCCAGGGGGATTTTCCCAACCCAGGGATCGAACCTGGGTCTCCTGCATTACAGGCAGATTCTTTAATGTCTGAGCCACTGGGGAAGCCAAATAAATAAAAATAAATAAATAAGAAAGAAATGTGGATTGTTTTCAAGTCACCAAGTTTGTAGTCTTTGTAATAGCATCGATCAGAAACACACAGGGAGACCTCTAAGAAGACTATTGTCATTGTTTGGATGAGCTTCGGTAATGGCTTAGGAAATATTTACCTTACCTACTAAATGCTGGGATCAGTCTTAGGCCTTCTTTCATGCTGGCCGTCAAGTTGCCCCTTGCCCCTCTGTCACCTTTACAGAGGCAGGACTTGGCCTTTCCTGAGTTCCTGTCAATATCCTCGCTCCAGAGCACAAGCAGTCCCCATACATGGGATTCCATGTCACCCAGTGGAATCAACACTTGGTGGTGGTGCCAGGAGCAGACGGCTTGGGAAAACTAAAGGGCAGGGCACCTTGGTGAACTGGCGTATGGTTATGACGCTTTGATTGGACCATCACAGATCTGACCTGACCACTCATCCAAGGTCTAGAACAGGTTTCACAAGATTAAACGCAGGTTTACCTGACACACACAAAAGTCACTGAGTCAACTCTGTACTTCAACTCTGTACTTCCCTCTCCTAACCTTCGATAAATTAATCTGTTGAAACAATCAATCAATCAATCTGTTGGAAAGCGAATTCCTTCTTTCTGTGGCCTTCTTTAGGGAAGGATGGGTAATGCCTTGGTATCAAGCATCTTCGTATTTGTCAAACTGGAATTCAAAGTGTCTTGATCCAGAGACCTTTTTTTTTGTTTTTTTTAGAGACCTATTTTTAATAGAGTAACTCTCCAGGCTCAAACATTCAACATCCATGAATAATTTTTTTAAGGATTGGCAGTAACCAATGAGGGCTTCCCTGGTGGCTCAGATGGTAAAGCGTCTGCCCGCAATGCAGGAGACCCGGATTCGATCCCTGGGTCAGGAAGATCCCCTGGAGAAGGAAATGGCAACCCACTCCGTTATTCTTGCCTGGAAAATTCCATGGACGGAGGAGCCTGGTGGGTTACAGTCCATGGGGTCGCAAAGAGTCGGACACGACTGAGTGACTTCACTCACTCACTCACTCACTCACTCACTCAGTAACCAATGAATGTGGACACTATCTTAGAATGCTTTTAAAAAAAAAAAAAATCAGCAACCCAAGACAGTCCCTTATATTTAGAAGCCTGAAGCTAGGGTTACATATCAAGATACATGTACAACGCTATTTTGCTGAATGCAGCTGTCATAGTGTGGGCCAGAGATAATTTGAGATTCAGGAGCTGAGGCCAGCAATTTTATGTCTGCATCTGCTTCTGCCTGTAACTTGCGGGAAAAGACAGGGCCACTTCAAAGGCTGTAGCCCTATCACCCTTAGCAAAGCACAGATCATCGGGTCAGGGACATTCCCTCCCTGAGCTTCGCCCCCGGAGACAGTCAGCACTCCCTTCTGCAAAGGGACCGCATGGCACTGTCCCTTGCCTCTGCCCTGGCACCCTCACATGTCCTTCTGTTTCTCCATGTGCCTGTTCCCCACTGGCCGGATAACTGTTCCCAGGGGTCTCTATCCTCTCGGAATCTCCAAAGTCTAGCACAGTTTCTATGGTTGAACGAGTGCTCTGTCAATAAAGATCTGGTGAGGAAATGGAGGGGAGGGACAGCACAATGGGGAAATTGTCTGGAAAGCTAGCAGATGACTTTTACCCTGCTTGTGACAGGCACAGTAAGAAGCAGCCTGCTTAAAGCAGACAGTGGGTTCATTTTTGTTTTTTCCCTGTTCAGCATCTGTCTCTCCTTTCTTCTGGTAAAAAGCACTTTGGTTTTCCTTTGGGAAACCACCCTTCTCACACTCTCAATCCATAAAGTTTGGGTGGAGTTGACTTCACCCTCTGTTTCACTGGCTGAATTGTGACACATTTTCCACCAGAGAGGGTGCCACACAGCCTTGGACACTGTGTCACTCTGTGTTGGAAAGGAGGGCCACACCTGTGTGTTAATGGCTGGTATCCTAATGGTTTGGTTCCTGCTCCAGACCAATCATGCATTACTTCAAATTGAAACTTTTTTTTTCTCCTTGTAACTATTATGGCAGAGTTACTTTATTTCCATAGACATTGCTTAGCTGGTAGGAAGAAATCTGAAGATGCTGGCAGATGCTGGGCCTCTGTGAAACCAAAATGTGCTCAGGAAGTTAAGAAGTAGATAAGGGAGATATTCTTAACAATGCTGAACACCAAGACCCAGCCATACCTGAAGTTATCTCTGGAATTTTCATTTTCAACTATATGAACAAGTAAACTCTTTGCTGTAGACTTTTTTTTTTGGTCACCGTCTGCTGAGACAGTCCCCTGGCTCTTGGCCAATCCATTTTCTAACTGTGCTTTCTAGAGTGAAGCAGGGGTGATCTGAGTCCTGCAGAAGATAACCATCACCTCACTCTATCACCACTGAAACTCTCTGCCAGGACTTGGGGGCATGGAATAAAAAAATCAGACCCTCATCTTGAGCCCAGAGCTCTCTGCCTGTAATGGGGCCAACACTTTCGATGCCACCTAGCAGGGCACTTCAGGCCATCAGCTAGGTATGAGCTGATACTTGCTAGCCCAACCCCGGACTTCCCTGGCGGCTCAGACGGTAAAGCAACTGCCTGCAGTGTGGGAGACCTGGGTTCAATCCCTGGGTCAGGAAGATCTGGAGAAGGAAATGGCAACCCACTCCAGTATTCTTGCCTGGAAAATCCCATGGACGGAGGAACCTGGTAGGCTACAGTCCATGGAGTCACAAAGAGTCGGACTCAACTGAGCGACTTCACTGTCACTTCTTTCTTTAGCCCAACCCTCAGCCTCTCTGTGGTCTTCCCTGAGGCTGGAATGAATGAGCCTGTTATGGTTATGGGAGGTCTCAAGAAGGTTGGGAACCGCAAGAAAACACAATGTATGCACCATGGTAGACCAGCTTTCTTAAAACCATTTTTATTCTGCCTCTCAGCAACACTGAATTTGATCTGGATAAAAGATCAGGAAGTCGAATACAAACAAACAGAAAACAAGGTGTGTGGAACAGGAATCAAGATCCATTTACTGGAATGATGCTAGGATCTCTGTGTGCTAAGAATTGGTATTCCTGGTTCATGTCCTCCTGGGACAAGTACTGGCTCATGACGGACGTCTGGGTGAAATGACAGGTGGAATCCGGTGTCCACCCATGTTTATTTTTTGTGAGGGGCCAGGGTTTTTACCAAAGGCCTGAGATCCACAATAATCTAAGAACAATGCTTTGTATTTGTGTAACAGTGAGAATTTTCCCTCCAAGGGCAGTCGCATCTATCACTGCGATTAATTCTCACACTGACCACTCTCAGATAAGTAGGTGGGTGTTCTCATCTCCATTTTCCAGATGAAGAAATCTGAGGCACAGAAGGCTAAGAAACTCGCCTAAAATCAGCTTGCATAGGTAGATTGTGGCAAAGGAGGCATTGAAACCCAGGTGTTTTGATTTAACACTTGTTCATTCACTTAGAATAAGGTGCCTTTTTTTTTTTTTTTTTTTTTTGCTTAGGAAGGTTATTTTCATGATTTCTAGTACTAGTTTTTGAAGTTAGTTTTAACATATACCCCCTATCACTCTGTTGTGTTAACCACTTAATATTTTCTTGGAGTCCACTTCCTTTTTTAAGTAAATGCATTTGAACAGAAAATTATATCCCTAAGTGGAGATTCACAAATGGAAAGTAATAAAATACACAAACTGAAAATAAAACCCACTAAGTAATTAAATTTTGTCTAAACAGAAGACTTTGAACCTGGGGTCTGCTCTTTATTAAGAAGGGAAACAAGCCAAAGGATCAGAAAGATGTTGAGGACCCATGAGCACTAAACAGAGACTTTCTCTGAAATGTAATCAGGACTGAAAAAGAGAAGTGCAAATGTTCTTTGTGAGTCAGTGACATTCAATCTTGTGGCTGCAAATGACTTAAAAGTTACCTTTGTGTACCACCAGTGGTATGTCTTGCACGCAGGGTTAGCGTGTTCTGGCAGGCAGAATGATGGTGGCATTGTTAAACCAGTGGTCACACCTGCAGGGTTTATATTTGACAGGAAAATAAATACACTGGGTGGCATTTCCAGGTGGCATCCAGGAAAATCAAAGATCTTGCCTGAGACTTGCTAAAGAGAGAGAGAGAGATTGAAGTAAGTTCATTAAACACAGGCAGTATATTCTCAAAACTGGGATGGGAAGGATGCCCATGTACCTAAGGACTGACCACCAAGTAAATTCTCAGAGTCTGTCTGAGGTGACAAATGAGACTCTGGTCAAGCTGACCCATGGGGGATGCAAGCAAGGAGACGGAGTCAGGCGAGACTAAGGCAAAAGACCAGAGAGCCCCTTCATCCCCCTTTGATGACAGAATAGAGCTGATGGAGGAGGAGCTACTAAAGGCCAAAGTGAAGCTATAACATGTAAAAATGAAAGGAAACAAGGCACAAATTCAGCTCTATTCAATGACTTTAAATGTGCTACAAATGTGCTCCATGTTGCAAACCAGCATCCTTTACTCTTTCCAAAACTTCCCTCTCCTCCCAGATCTGGACTTTTTCCCCCTTTAAAAGCAACGAGATTTTCTGAGGCTCATCTCTGGAGAAGAGGAATGCACACATGGACACAACGGCTTTTGATATACTGAGACAGTGAGGCTTAATTTTCTTAAGAAAAAAAAAAAAAAACAATGGCTTCAGCTGATCTGGCTTTACTGCCTGGGTTTCCTAAATTTCGGACTTTGTTGTTGCTGCTGCTGCTGTTCTTTCTGGTTTGAGTTCATTTGCCAGGGACCTGCCGCTGGAGAGTCCTGGAGGAAAAGATCTCACAGTCTGAAGTCAAGGATCCATTCCTCAAAAACTCCTCTGGGGTGTGTGTGAATGAGGTCCATCCTCCATGCTTGTGGCTGACTGCTGGCTGTTCAGGCTCTGTGTGTAAAGAGACAGAGTGAGTGAGAGAGAGAGACAGACCAACAGATGGTGGGGTGGGCGGGGGATGGGGATGGCGGGAGAGAGAGAGAGAGAGAAGAGAAAGAGAGAAGAGAGAGTAGAGCCTCTTCAGCAAAGGCTTCCTTCTTCAATGGCTAGTACTCTAATTCACCCAGTGCTGACATGGACTAGCAGCTCTGCGTACTTTTGAATCTAAGCACTGGCTTCTTTTTGAAAAATGTATCTTACCTGGAAACATGTTTTACATGGTGCACATGCAAAAATCCAACTGATACTGATGTAGGCACAATCACGGCCCCTGAGGCTTTCTGAATCTTATTCTCCTCCTCAAGGGTTAGCAGCACTGTTAACATTTGGGCTGCACCCTCCAGGCATTTTCCTCTACATTTAAATCACAGCTGTAGTTAGCTGTAGTTAGCATCTCAAGGAGAGAGGGGAACAAGCCATGCAAATTCCAAAGGAGGAATACAATTCCAGGAAGAGGGACCAGCAAGTGCAAAGGCCCGGTGGCATGCTTGTGTTGCTCAAAGAAGAGGAATTCAGTGCAGTTGGAGGGAGGAAGGGCTGGGAGATGTGGATGGAGAAGCAGAAACCAGATCCTTTGGGGCCTTATAAAGCCATAGTAAGGGAGGTATTTTCACATTTAAATTGCAGTGTCGTATTCCATCCTATGAATGAACCAGTGTGTATTTAACTGTTCTCCCACTCTTGGACATTTAAGATGGTTCAAGGTTTCCTCTTTTTCAAGTGGAGCTGCCATGAGCATCATTGCACATCCTTGGTTCTCATCCCTGGGCTTCACATTTGAAACATCTGGAAGGCCTTAAAACCTATTGATACCCTGCCCTATCACTGGAGATTCTAATTTAACTGGTCCAGGGTGGGCCCTGGGCATTGGGGATTTTCACGTGTAGGGAGGAGAATTACTGTTTTAGGTGCCTTTTTGTGACACTGAGAAGTAGACTGCTGGGCAAGTAGGCACACAGATTTTAGAAAATGATCTTCTGAAAGATGGTCCCAATGTACTATTCCACCAACAGTGTGGTATCCAGGTCTTCACACTCTCGCCAACCTTGATATTATCACATGTGTGTGGATGTATGGACATCTAGTATTTCACTGTTAATTTGAGTTATCCAGCTACTGGAGAGATTGAGCATCTTTTTTTGTTTGTTTGTTTACTTTTAAAAAAAACTTCTTCAGTCTTCCTTCAAATTTTTTCTTTTTTTTGAACATCTTTTTCATGTTTATTCTGACTTCTTCATCAATATCCCACCATCTTATATCCTTTTCAAAGCAAAAATCTTTCATTGTTGATGACTTAGGTCTGACTTATCTTTATCTCAACTTATCTGAACCAACAAAGAAAGGCCTTTCTGATCTTCAGGAAACAGGTAATGTCTCCCATTTTTCATCATGGAATCACAAAAATTCTCTGAAGACACACCTGTGCAAAACAACTGCCAGGAAGGAAGCTTTACATCAGCCAATAATACAAAGAATAAGAGAGATTTGCTCTTATGCTTTTGTAAGAGCAGCTTCGTGCTTCTTATCCCTAATGATATTTCTTCTTACTTCCCTTCTAGTGCAAAGGGGGGATATGCTGAGGTCAGGAAGAATTCTTTTCAGCCTCCTTATAATGTAGAAGCTTTACCAGTAAAGAATGGGTTTGTATCTGCTAACTCTGAACCTGCTAATGGGAGACAGTTATGGGATCCTTAACCTTAGAAGTCAAGTTCTTCCTTAATGGAACTTTGGAACATGATGTCTCTTACTGCTAAGAATGACAAGCAAGCATTTTTAATAAGTGGTGGAAGTGTGCTTGCTTGTTTAGGTACCTACAAGACCACCCAGGTATGTAAAGTCAGTGGAAGTGCAATGTATGTGTATTTAACTTACAGAAATAAACTTTCATATTTTTCAAAGGGAAAAAAAGCAACTATTGAAATGGAGATATTGGCCACCAGGCTGCTCGATGCTTATGAGTATCAATGGGTATAGGACTCCTGTTGAGCTCAGAATGTGGTTCCAGTGTTTGAACATACGACATGAGCCCTAAACAGCCAACCACCTCAGCTGGTGTTAGCCCCAAGGAACACCATCCGTCCCCACACTGGAGGCAACACTGGCTATATTGGGCTGATCAGGAGACGCTGTGTGATTCTAAAATAGGGTACCCTCCTATATATATGTCCAAGATTAATTTTGATTATTCAAAGCTCACCTCATGCCCTGATGTTATAACTTCACCCGAGTAAGCAGCAGCTCCACTGGTTGTCATTTATTGTATTTGTGGCAGACAACACTGGTCTCCCTCACACCCAGGTTTGGTCAACTGATTTTGTGCTAAAGGAGTTCCACTGAATTCAACCAATCATCAGGCACGTGACCATGAACATGATCACAAGGAGAGAAGAAAGAGGAGACTTGCGATACGTGTAAACGTTCTAGGAGGTAGGTCAGGGGAAGTAGCAAGCACTGAAGCTTCTTCCAGGTGGCCTAGAAATGTGAAAAAGTCCTACTTTGTAGCCTACATCTACCTATTAATACATAAGATTGTTCTCCATTAGGGACTTCCCTGGTGGTCCAGTGGTTAAGATTCCATACTTCCAATGCAGGGGGCCTGGGTTTGATTCCTGGTCAGGGAACTAGATCCCACATGCTGCAACTAAGAATTTGCATGCCACAACTAAAGGGCCCTGTTGCTGCAAAGAAGAAAAGATCCTGCATGTCAGAACTAAGATATGGCACAGTCAAATTAAAAAAAAAAAAAAGAATGTTCTCCATTAGATACAAAGCTTTAGTGCAGAGTTTTTACAACATGACAATACTTAGAACTAGGTTTTGGGGGTTAGCAATGCTGTGATAATGCATGTTTCAGGGCCATTCGGAATTTTGATTGTGGGTCTGGGAATCTGCATTTTCATAAGCATCCTTGCTGGATCTGTCACAGGTGAGACCTGTGCTTTGTGAAACATGACAAGAATAACCTAATCTTGCTTGAATCCTCAGATGCCAGTAGAAAGTAAAAGTCTGCAGACTTGTTGTTTTTGGCTGAGGATGCGAAAAATCAGGATCAATAAACAGATGGCTGCAGTATTTAAATGTTTTACCTCTGTGATTCATTTCTCTACTTTCCCTAGCAACCTGTGAACAGGGAATTTGATAACTCCAAGAGACTCCAAGTTTCTGATTCCATATGAACAGAGCACTTCTCTCCTGCCAGCTCAGCATTATATCTCAAACTGTTGAATAAATTTGAGTTCAGTAATTCCCAGTTCTAACAGATTTGATGTCATCAAACTCTTAGCTTTCTTTGCTCCAACCACCACATGACTTACAGAGATATTCTGTAAAATTAGGATAGGTGATACAAAAAGAGATCATATTTGTTGTTTCTGGAGGAAGGTTCTGAGGGGAGGGATAACTGGATGGTGGGGATCAAAAGGTACAAACTTCATTTATAAGATAAGTACTAGGGATGTAATATATAATGCGCTAAATATAATGAATGCTGCTGTGTGTTATATATGAAAGTGGTCTAAAAGAGCAAATTCTGAGGATTCTCATCACAAGGAAAAAAGTTTCTGTTTCTTTCTGTATCTATATGAGCTGATAGGTGTTCACTAAGCTTACTGTAATAATCATTTCATGGTGTATGTAAGTCAACTCATTGTGCTGCACACCTTAAACTTACATAGTGCTGTATGTCAATTAAATCTCGATAAAGCTGGAAGGAAAAAAAATTAGGATGATGAGAGTTTCATACGAGCTTGGGTGAAGACTATCATGACCTGTTCCAAGAAAGTGAACTACCAGAGATTTCAGTCATTTGAGAGAGAAGAGATTGGTTATGGTTTTCTTAATAAGGGTAAGGAATATATATACACACACACACATACATACACACATATACATATATACACACACATAAAGGCATGTGTGCTCAGTCTTGTCCAACTCTTTGTGACCCCGTGGACTGTAGCCCACCAGGGTCCTCTGTCTATGGGATTATCCCAACAGGAACACTGGAGTGGGTTGTTATTTCCTCTTCCAGGGGATCGCCCCAACCTAGGGATTGAACCTGCGTCTCCTGCATTGGCAGGCAGATTCTTTACCACTGAGCTACATGGGAAGCCCTTTTTTTAAAGGCAGCACTTAACAAGTTTTAAAAGATAGTAAAAGAGATTTCAGACTTTTTTTTTTTTTAATGAAATACAGAAAACTGACATACTCGAAGCTTTTGGTCTTGCCTCTAGGCTAGGCCTTCTCTAAAGTCAGATTTTCCCAGCCCTGCCACGGAGGTCCTTGCTTTGATTGTTACAAAAGAGTCTCTCTGCGGGTACACCTTCTAGGTGGTAAAATGATTCCCGTCCTTGGCCTTGAGTCTGATATAACATGTTAGGATGACGACTTTGCTGATGTAAATGAAAACTGACCAGTCTGTTAATGGCTGGTGCTATTAATGTGTTCTTCCTTTTCAATTTGGGAGGAAGGAAGTCTGGCAGAGTGTTCTAATCACCTGCAGCAGAGTCTTTGGGAGGCAGTGGGGAGCTTGAAAATGCAGATTCTTGGTCCTCGCTTCTGACTCAGTAAGTTGGAATCCTTTGAGGTAGGGTTCAGATGTCTAACTCTTTTAAAACTCCCCAGGTAAGTATTCTGCAGCCCAAAGTTTGGGAACCTCTACTTTAGTAATTCCACAATGTGATTCAATTTCTCCAGTAAGCCAGGCTGGGAAATTTTATTTCAAAGGATTAAAGAATTACTGAGAAATCAGGTCTTGTTCTTGGTCTTAATGGAAAACAGAAATGATTTCATTCACTGAGGTCTAGTTTCTTACTGTCTCTTATACATATGCACACACACACATGACAAAGCTTTTAAATTTTAGTTTCTCCATGGAATTCTAACTCTGGAAAACATTTTTGCTTGTTTTGATACCACAGAAATGCCACAACTAAGAGTTCGTATGCAAGATCCCGTGTGCCACAACTAGAAGATGCTGCTTGCCACAACTTAAAAAAAAAAAAAATCCTGCACACCACAACTAAATATCCCACATGTAGCAATGAAGACTGAAGATCCTGTGTGCCATGACTAAGACTTGGTACAGCCAAATAAATAGGTAAGACAAAAGTAAATATTAAAAAAAAAAAAAATGCCAGGGTGGTTTGGGCAGTAGAGCTAGGATTTGAGTCCTAGCAAAATGAGTGCTGAGGGCCAGGCTCTAACCACTGTGGAACACTTCCCATCAGGGAGAAGCAATGGAGAGGAGGCCTCCTCTCCTATCTTTCATGACTACTACTAACGAAACCTCAATCACAAGTATACAAACATCAGTGCTTCACCTGCACACAGAAACATTAAGAATGTCCTCCACACGAGGACTTCCTCATTGGAGGAAGACTTCTGGGTCCCCAGTGAAACTTCTTGCCTGGAATCTAACAGGCAAACTGAACTTTGAAAGCCAAATTGTCCACCAGAAACTCTATAAAGTAGATAATGTCCAGGTTGCCGGTGTGATTTTTGTATGTTTTTGTTTTGTTTGGGGCCCTCATCATGTGTTTAAACTGTGTGAATTGGTTGTCAACATCTAAAAATCAGGAGACTTTAAATAAAGACCCAGCTTTCCAATGTCTTTTGGAAAATGGGCCCATGAGGTCTGTGTTCTAAGTGGTGACAACCAGCAAGAGCAGAGTGGTGGCTGCTCCCTTTAAACTGTGCTCCTCCTCTCACCACAGTCCACACTGTTCCCGACCAACCTGCTTCATGCATGTATAATATGGTCCCTGCCTCACTCCTGCAGCCTTTGATTTTCTTACCCTTGGCCCTAACTCATCATGTTCTTCTGGTGGGTTGGAACCTCAAGGCACCAGCACTGTAGAAATAATTCTAGAGTCAACCACAAGGTAAGAGCCATCTACTGGCCTTTGTTAGTGTGTGTACTAGAAAGGACGTGCTGGCTTAGAGGTTGTGAGGTGGTGTGGTTAACAAGAGCTTCCAGGGACTTCTCTGGCAATCCAGTGGCTGAGACTCTGTGCTCCCAATGAAGGGGGCCTGGGTTCAATCCCTGGTCAGGAAACTAGATTTCTTATGCCACAACTAAAAGAAGATCTTGCATGCTGCAACAAAGATCAAAGATCCTGCAAGCCTCAGCTAAGGTCTGCAGGGACAGCAAAAAACAACAACAACAAACATTTTCCAGAGCCAGGACAGCAAAAAATAACAACAAATATTTTCCAGAGCCGGGTTACCCTGGGCTTACCCTCCGTCTTTTCTAATTAATTGTGAGGTATCAGACAAGTCACCTCATTTCTCTGAGCCTCCATTTCTTCATCTGCAAAAATAGGGATAATATCACCTTCCTGGGGTTGTTGTGAGGACCCAGTGAGATTTAATTCATGTGAGAGCGTGGAACAGTACCTGGCATATGGTGAGTTCTAAGTCAGCGTCAGTTGCTATTATTATTATAACCACTTAGCTCAAACACTGATCTGGGCAGTATGTATTTTCACAAGTCCCCAGGAGTTACACCAGGACTTGGCCTTATTTCCCTGAAACACCGTCCTTCAAGTTTGGCTCATCTATTCAAAGCCCTGAACTCAGTTCAATAGCATCTTAAACTCTTTGAGGTCCTTCCTCCAGTCATGTTGATAATCATAGTAGTAATTAATAAATGGTTTGTATTTCTTTATGCACTGAGAGGGAACAGATGCCAACCTACACACATTCTAGGCATCATTTCAATAACCTTCACAACAGTTTTATTAAATGGGTACGATTATAAACCCCAGTTTACAGAGGAAGAAACTGAAGTTGAGGGAGGCAAGCAGTTGGCTGAAGGTCTCACAGTAAACAAGTGGCAAAGGGGGGTACTTGTGTCCAGGAAGTCTGGTCCCAAACCTGTACATGCTACCCTACACCCCGTGGCCCCATGCTCACACATGCAAGCACATTATGCTTTCATTAAAGAGTCAAGTCAGGTGTGTTCTCATCAGTTGATTATCTTTCAACTGTCTTCTTCATAGGCCAACATCGTCAATTTGCCATCTTGTAGGCAAGACACTTTGAGGTTCTTTTGACATCTTAGTGTTCTTTTCTCCTCTCTTTTGGTCAAAGCCATCAATTTTTTCCTTTATGACACTTCCTATTTTGATATCTCCTCCTCCATCCAATGGCCCCTGATTGCTCATGGATCTGGCTTGTCTGATAGGAAGCTGACCCACTGGGACATCCACTACCCTCTTGGTTGCCAAGGTGAGTTTGGCTGATCTAAAAGGTGTCCCCTTCCTCCCATACCCACCCAATGGGCCCCGTCCTGAAACCAAGTCAAAAAGATCAGTCAAAAAGACTGATTTTCCCAGCTTGAGAGAAATGGTGTTGGAGGAACAGTGCTGCTATGAAAGAAGACTGGAAGGATTTCTGAATTCTTATCTGTTTGGCCAGGAGTTACACAGTGAGACAGAGATGAATCTGGGCTTGTAATTCCCAGATCCTGGTTGTCCATCACACCACCTTGCCCTTTGGCAAAACTCTGACGGAAAATATCGTTGATTCTAGCAGATGGAGCCCACCTCCATTGGCTGGAGAAATCAGAATAAATTTGTTCAGATCCAGAGAGAAACATCACCTCTTTGTGAGATGAGAGCTGAAAATACCAGACATAGGCAGAGACCCTTCTGCTCTTAAACTAAGAACAGTTAGGCTAGTTGGATGCAGTGTCATGTAGGAAATCATTTAGCAGATTAGATGCTAAGGCAGAGCAAGTGATAACCATAAAGCTCCACTTCTTGTCACGAATTTCCCACTCTCTCACAGTTAGGTGGAACTATGTGACTAGTGTTAGTTGATCAATTATGAGCGTAAGTGACAAGTATCGCTCCAGGGTTGAGGCAGTGAAAACTCATGTGGGATTCTCTGGCTTTTCCTCTTCCCTGTCTTAGCCTGAGAAGCCCTCATGTTCTAGATCAGAGGCTGGAAAACAAAGGGCCATGGGCCAGCTCCCTGTTTTTATAAATAAAGCTTTATCACACACAGCCACATTAATGCATTTACAGACTGGATATGGCTGCTTCTATGCTAAAATGGCAGAGTTAAGTAGTTGCAACTGAGATGCTAATAGTGGCCTAAAATGTTTATCATCTGGCCCTTTACAGGAGAAGTTTGTTGACTCCTGTTCCAGACAGAGCAGCTACAAGTTGGTGCAGTCTGGACTCTAAGGGACTGTGTGGAGGAGAGACTTTCCACAAACCCACGTGGCCTATGGAATAGCAGTGAGGAAAAATGAAAACTCTTTTGTTTGAGACTGTTTGTTACTGGAGCACAATCTAACCTATCCTAGCAGATTCCAGTGGGCTTTTCAAGAAAAGGCACCTTAGAGGACTTCCCTGGAGGTCCAGTGACTAAGACTCTGCACTCCCAATACAGGGAGCCTGAGTTTGATCCCTGGTCGGGGAACCAGATCCCACACACTGCAACCAAAGATTCCACATGCCACAACTAAAGATCCCTCTGCCACAACTAGATTTCGCATGCTGCAACTAAAGATCCGCATGCCACAACTAAGAGCTTGCATGCTGCAACTAAGGATCCCACATTCTGCAACAAAGATGGATTCCATGTGCCATAACTAAGACCTGGCACAGCCAAACAAATAAATATAAATATTAAAAAAAAACAAAAAAGCTTACCTACTTCCATGTGAAGTGAACTGTACAAGAAATAGCAATGACGAGAAGGCCAATAATGATGGAGGCAACGGCCACCCACTTGGCATTCCTTCCAAGCCGCTTGGATCCTTCGATGTCTCCATCCTCATAGCTGTTCTGAGCCTGGGGGACACAAGGGAAGAGCTGGAGATGACAACGCATAAGCAAAGACATGGCTTCCCAGGCTGATCTGAGCCAGTGGCACGGTTACCACCTCCTCCAGGAAGTCTTCCCTGAACTCCCAGTTTGAGTTAACTTCCTCTTCTGTAGTTCCTGATAACTTCCATCTTACTATTTACCATAGCATATTGAAAAGAATGATTTGGCCTCTCCCATTAGAGTATAAGTGCTATGTGAGCAGGGACCATTATCTATCTTGTTCAGCACAGTATACCACTGTCCAATGCAATATTTGTCATGTAAATGGTATGAAATAAATATTTGCATGCTGAAAGGATGAAAAGGTACATCTGTCTCATCCATTGGAATAGGGGTCTCTGCAAGCTATGGCCCACAGGCCAAATCCAGCCTGCCATTTTTGTAAACAAAGTTTGTAGGGAACATAGTCACAATCATTTGTTTACTACTGTCTGTAGCTGCTTTTATAACAACAGAGCTGAGTAGCTGGGACAGAGAGCATATTAGTTACAAGTCCTAAAATATTTATTATTTGGTCTATGACAGAAAAAGACTGTCTGCTTCTTATGCTAGAAGGTCAGGGACCCTGGCTGACCTGTTCACCCTTTCGTCAAAGCCAAAATGTCATTCATCTGGCACTTATTCATACAGCTTCCCCAGCTGTTAGAATACTGGAAAACTTCTGTACTGATTGGTGAGTAGCAGCTACCACTTCCCAATTTCCCAGCCAGCCTGCTCTCTCCTCTGAGTTTCCTCAGACCTCCCCACGATCCAGGGTATCACTAGGCTCAACATAGTATCCTTGTGCAAAGGCACAGAATCTTCTGTGCCCTTTGGAGAGATGTCTGGTCCATTGTAGGAACTCAAGAAATCTGTATTGGCTGAATGGGTGATGAATATATCTGTTTTCCTACAGAATATGAGTTCACTGACGGCATCCTGGAGCCCCAGGCAAAGGCGAGATGCTCAGAGAGTCCTTGTTGCTGAGCTGAAGGTCAGATGCTATCCTTCTCTCTTATAAGCCCTCTTTATCATAACTCCCACTGTTGAGCTCTCCCCCAAAAGCTGTGCTGCAGCCCAAAGAACAATGGAAATCTGCATTTGTAAGTTATGGACAGAATGATTCGATCCATGCCATGAATTGCAGGTTTCTGTGGGAACATCTATTCTTGACTCTGAAAGCACAGCACTTCAGTAATCACCCTTCTTTGTGAACTATGAAGGGGAATGAGGCATATACAGACAATTACAAGTCAGAGAAACTCCCAGTAAACCACAGAGCCTTCTGCTTCTGGAACCTTCCATTAATTCTTGGACCTGGGCCAACTTAGTCAGCAACAGGCTGGGAGACTTGCCCCCCCCCCCCCCCCAGCTAGTCTTGCTTTCGGGCCTCTTGTGTGAATGGAAGAGTGAGAGCTTGAAATGATGCCAGGGGCTGCCGGCAGGGAGAACTCCAGAACCCTGTATCCTGAATTCTGGAGTTCTTAACCCTGTGTGCCCATCAGAAACACATGGATAGTATTAAAAACAAATGCCAAAGGCTTGGCCCTATTCTGGAGAGATTCCAATTTAATTGGTGTAGAAGTCAGACACCAGTTTTTAAAAATAGAAATTGTGGTAAAATGTGCCTGACATAAAATTTACCACTGCTGAGTGTACAATTCATTGGCACTAAGTACATTCACGTTGTGCAAATATCACCATCATTAGTCATTTCAAACTGAAACTGCTTTCATTAAACACTCACTCCTCACTCTTCCCACCACCCCTCCCCATCCCCAGCCTCTGGCAATCACCATTCTGTGTCCTGTCTCTATGGAATTTGACTGCTCTAGGGATTTTATATGAGTTGACTCATACAATGGTTGTCTCCTGTGATTGGCTTATCTCAATGAGCATAATGTCATCAAGGTTCATCTATGTTGTAGCATGTGTCAGAGTTTCTTTCCTTTTTGAGGCTGAATAATATTTCATTTTAGGGATAGATCACATTTTGTTTACCCACTCATTCATTGATGGATACTTGGGTTGCTGCCACAGTATTTTTTAAAAAGCCTTCTCAAGGTCGCAAACCTTTGGTCTAGACAACTATCCTTAACATTGTGCAAGGTCAAGATGTTCACCATCTTAAGATTTAACCCAAGAAAATGTATCATGGAGCATGGGCTCTAAAACGCAGAGAGATATGAGTTCAGATTTCCTGTCTTATCAGCTGTGAGAATTAGAGCAAGCTATCAAGCTTTCTAAGCCTCAGGGTCCTCATCTGTAAATTGGGGACAATAGTAATAACATCTCCTTCATATTGGAGGGACCAATGAGTTAATGCATGCAAAGTGGTTAGCATTGGTCCAGAACATAATTTATGCTCAATAAATTAACTTTTACTATGAATTGCCACTGCCTGTTTTATTCTTCTAAAGCTAAGGTCCTTGGGGTAAAACAGAATCATCTGGGCTACTTATGAGAATTATAGGTGATCAGTCTCTATTCCTTGCTAGAATAGAATCAGGGGACCTAAGTTTGGGAAACTTTGTTTTAGAGGCTTCACAATTAAAGTCACTGCATAGAATCCTAGAACCCCAAATTGTGAGTTCATAATCAGTTTAAGATTATATAGATTCAGACCCTCTTAAATTGATCATTATTCTATCATGCTACCTTCAAAAACCCAGTTCTGAGAGTAGTCATGATGATATACTTGCACTGCTGTAACCAGGAAAAAAAAGAAAAAACCAAAAAAATGAGACACTCCTCGCCGATCTCTCCCCAAACATTGTCAACCCCTGGCTATTTGGATGAAAATCCAGTCTTGTGTTCTCAGTAGCAGTGACAATGAAAGTGGGAAGAAGAGCCAGTGTGTGCCATGTTGAAGGGTACATCTACATCTGGGCATTGCCCATGAGCTCAGGGGAGATGGGGGCTCACTTATCTGCTGCAGATCAGCAGAGCCACACTGGTGACCTGGCTAAGGGGCACGTGTCCAACCTTCATCACCTGTTAGCATCCTGGCCTCTTGTATGTAACCCTTTTCTTTGCAATTCACCATCCCTCTGGGACTCATAAAGGAGATGTTGAGTCATCCCAGGAATGAGTCCATGTTAGCTTGAAAAAACAGGTGAAAAGCCTCTTTCAATATTAGTTGTAGACTCTTTTCTTCCCAAGAATCCTCTTATGAATCCCTTTCTTCCTCTGGTTCTTGGAGAAGGGGCTTCCCATGAGTAAATCTGCTGGGTAAATGTAAGGATATGGGGGAAGGGATAAAGGTGGGGTACTTTAGAACTCTCACATTTCACTTTAAAGGACTTCACTGGTGAGGGGCTCTGGCTTCGGGGTCATCATACAACAATAGAGCAGGAAGGAATTAACCCCTGGCTGAAGTTCTTTTCTCCCCCAACTGGAATTGCGTATTAATATAGGTCTGTTGGCAGATGCTACAGATTGAAGCGGGGGGAATGGGTTTTAGAGAAAATGTTCTGAAGGGCTTAAAAAGCAAACTATTCCATCTGCTGTGGAAGAACTATAAAGAAACAAGGGATGACTTTGATACTTAAATTTACATGATTGTCTCAGTTCTTTCACCAATTCTGAATGCAATGCATGAACATGTAAAGTATCCTACAGAAACACAGAAACACAGTAAGATAGTAAGTCTTCTCTCAATTCCATTTCCCAAAGATAACAGGGTAGTACATTTGCTTCTAGATTTTTCCCCCCATGAGTAATATGAAAGGAAAACTGACACTTTCTCCTGGTTTCATTTGACTAAGCACATCACATGCCACTGTTCGTGAGTAACAGCAATTTGTATACTGAGACAAACCAGGAACAACAGGTTAGTCTGTTAGCCTGCATCCTTCCAATATTGAAACCTTGGGTATTTCCCATAAGGCTTTGCAAAGACAACTTCATCTTTGCCTTTTGTGACATGCTGCACTCAAGATGCCAGAAAATTTGGAAAACTCAGCAGTGCCCACAGGACTGGAAAAGATCAGTTTTCATTCCAATCCCAAAGAAAGGCAATGCCAAAGAATGATCAAACTACTGCACAATTGCACTCATCTCACATGCTAGTAAAGTAATGCTCAAAATTCTCCAAGCCAGGCTTCATCAATACATGAACNTACTCCTTGGAAGGAAAGTTATGACCAACCTAGACAGCATATTAAAAAGCAGAGACATTACTTTGTCAACAACGGTCCATCTAGTCAAGGCTATGGTTTTTCCAGTGGTCATGTATGGATGTGAGAGTTGGACTATAAAGAAAGCTAAGTGCCAAAGAATTGATGCTTTTGAACTGTGGTGTTGGAGAAGACTCTTGAGAGTCCCTTGGGCTACCAGGAGATCCAACCAGTCCATCCTAAAGTCTATCAGTCCTAGGAGTTCATTGGAAGGACCGATGTTGAAGCTGAAACTCCAATACTTTGGCCAACTGATGTGAAGAGCCAATTCATTGGAAAAGACCCTGATGCTGGGAAAGACTGAGGGCAGGAGGAAAAGGGGACGACAGAGGATGAGATGGTTGGATGGCATCACCGATCAATGGACATGGGTTTGGGTGGATTCAGGGAGTTGGTGATGGACAGGGAGGCCTGGCGTGCTGTGGTTCATGGGGTCGCAAAGAGTCAGACACTACTGAGCAACTGAACTTAATACTGAACTGAATTTATTTAATTTTGAGTGTGCTGGGTCTTCGTTGTTGCATGGGCTTTTCTCTGGTTATGGTGAGCAGGGCTACTCTTCGTTGCAGTGCATGGGCTTGTCATTGTGATGACTTCTCTTTTTGTGGAGCATGGGCTCTAGGACACACAGGTTTCAGTAGCTGCAGTGTGTGGGCTCAGGAGTTGTAGCTCCTGAGATCTAGAGCACAGGCTCAATAGTTGTAGCACACAAACTCAGTTGCTCTGTGGCATGTGACGTCTTCCTAGATCAGGGATCAAACCCGTGTCTCCTGCATTGGCAGGTGGATTCTTTACCACTGAGCCACC